CTGCACACACAGAACCTCCCTGGATCCCAGCTGCACACACAGACCCTCCCTGGATCTGAGCTGCACACACAGAACCTCCCTGGATCCCAGCTGCAGACACAGAACCTTCCCTGGATCTGAGCTGCACACACAGACCCTCCCTGGATCCCAGCTGCAGACACAGAACCTTCCCTGGATCCCAGCTGCAGACACAAAACCCTCCCTGGATCCCAGCTGCACACACAGAACCCTCCCTGGATCCCAGCTGCACACACAGAACCTCCCTGGACCCCAGCTGCACACACAGACCCTCCCTGGATCCCAGCTGCACACACAGAACCTCCCTGGATCCCAGCTGCACACACAGAACCTTCCCTGGATCTGAGCTGCACACACAGAACCTCCCTGGACCCCAGCTGCACACACAGACCCTCCCTGGATCCCAGCTGCATGCACAGAACCTTCCCTGGATCTGAGCTGCACACACAGACCCTCCCTGGATCCCAGCTGCACACACAGACCCTCCCTGGATCTGAGCTGCACACACAGAACCCTCCCTGGATCCCAGCTAAAACCCCTCCCAAACTACCTTGGAAAGAGTTTTCAGAGACAACAAATAACTGCTTTGGGACAGCCCATTTTAATATGAGGGATTATTGAGAAAGGAACTGCCTGAACAATGCACAATGTCCTAGATAAATGAGCATTGATATAATAAAAAGAGAATTGCCCAGTTTACTTCTACACTGTGAATTTCTAAGTTACTATGGTGACATCAAGGTGTCCATTACAGCCTTTCCAAATTACTTTGAACAAGGGATCGAGGGACAGGACACAGGGAATGGCTTCCCACTGCCAGAAGGCAGGGATGGGTGGGATATTGGGAAGGAATTCCTGGCTGGGAGGGTGGGCAGGCCCTGGCACAGGGTGCCCAGAGCAGCTGTGGCTGCCCCTGGATCCCTGGCAGTGTCATGGACAGGGCTTGGAGCAGCCTGGGACAGTGGAAGGTGTCCCTGCCATGGCAGGGGGTGGAATTGGATGGGCTTTAAGGCCCCTTCCCACCCAAACCATTCCAGGATCTGTGACTTTGTTCCATGTAAGTCTCTCAGATGCCCCAGGACTCCAAACCCACGGCATGAGCCCATTCCCAGCTCTCAGGGAAGCAAGGCTCCACCATCCCTACTGCACCCGTACTGCCTGGGATGGGGCTGGCCACCTCCTGCATCCCTTCATGCACAGAACACCACAAACCCACTTCCAGACACTCCACACACAAACTGGGAGCAGGAGGGAGCCTGGAATAAATCTGCTCAGTACAATACCAATAATTTAATTTTCTATCATTGTCTTTGGTGCCTGTCAATGAGTTTTTCAAGGTCCAGTGTGAGTCTTCCACACTACTACTGAAACCTCCTTTGCTCTAAATTGTACTCTGAAGATACAGAGAGCTCCTCCACAGCTGTTGTACTCTAGAAATACAGAGAACTCTTCAATATTTAAGTCTTGTCTAATCCAGAGACAAAATGAGCAGCTCTGTAAATGCAACTCTCCAACCCTCCCTGCCCCTCAGGACCTCTGGATCCCTGACTGAGCTCGGTGGTGCTCTGGGATTATCTCCAGCTGGTCCCCAGTGTCCCTGGAGCTGGACACACCAACTGCTGCTGACAGCTTCACCACTGAGATGTACAAACATCTATTTTTAAGAGTATAGACTGGACAAAAGCCAGTTAAAATCACCACGTACTTCTCTGGGAGGAGCCACGCACCTACAGCAGGATGAAAACAGAACAAGTTGAACCAGAGTCCATTTCCAGCACATCCAAAAGGGAGCCAGCCCTTCCCTCCTGGAGTGTTAAGGCTTGATCCTTGAGCACTAGTATCAGTTTTCTTGTTTCCTCAAACCAAAATTACTTTTCATTTTTTAAAAGGATCGTCACAGCAACATTCCAAAACTCACTCACCCTGTAAAGTCTCCTTAGCCCAACTCTAATTACCTTTCAGATTCGCGAGAAATAAATACCTATTTTTGATAACCAGTTTGAAAGGAGGGGCTTTCCCTTGGCTCCCATTGCTGCACCACACAGAGCCAGCACAGAGCCAGCCTGGCCGGGGATTTCGAGCCACAGCAAATCCTTTCCGTGCTCAGCAGGGCACCTGGGCCCTTCCCGGAGCAGCGATTTCCCGGGATCATCCCGGGGCTGCTCGGCCAGGGCAGGGAAAGGCGAAACCACAGCTGCTCCAGGGCGTGGGACAGCACAGAACCGCAAGCGGAACAAGCCAAACTGCACGAGTATTCCGTAACATTTCCCCGTCAACACAAAGAGCTCGAGCGGCCGCTGCAAAGGGCGCCCCACGCCCCGAGCCCAGCTGGAAGGACTGGAAAAACACACCCGAGCCCGGGCGGCTCCCACCCCAGGGCGCTGCAGCTCGGATTCCCAGGTCGGATCGCCCTTCTCGGATTCTCCGCCTCACAAAGAAGCCAAGCGCCAGCCGGGGCTGCTCCAGGGGCGGTGACAGCGGGGCTGCCCCAACCCGGGGAACGGCGGCGAGGAGGCGGGCCGGGGCCGCGCGGCTTCCCCGGGCACCGCCGCGCGGCGGAGCCGCTGCCAAGCCACGCCGGCCATCCCCCCCGGCTGCGGACCGAAATGGAGTTAGAAAGTCAGCACGCTTTAAAATTAAAACGCATAAAGAAAGCGAAGCAGCCGGGCGTGCGAGGAGGAAGAGGAGCCCGCGGGCAGCAACGACGCTGCCGCAAGCGAGCCCGGGGCACGGCGCGGGGTTTAGCGCGGCTCCCAAAGCTCCCGCTGCGGTTTCCTCCCTTTGCCCAGCACTGCCGGCACCGCCGGGGCGCGGCTGAAGCGAAACCCGGCGGGGCCGGGACCTGCCCGCGCAGGGAAGTCGCTGCCGGGGCGAGCGGGCACCGGCCGGGCCCCGCGGGCAGCGGGGACGTCCCGGGGCCAGCGGGGCTGCCCCAAGCGCGGCCCCGGGCACCGGCCGGCGCCGAGGGAACGGAAATGTGCCCGGCGCTGCCGCCGAGCCGGCCCCGCGCCCGCCGCGGCTCACAAAGAGCGGAGCAAAGCTGCGGCCCCCCCCCGTCCCGTCCGCCGCCCGCCCGGTGCCCTCCGCCCCCGCCGGGCCGCACCTTCTTGTAGTGCTTCCCCAGCCACACGCGGACCGAGTCGAGCTGGGACACGGTGTCGGGGCTCTCCCAGAACTTGCCGGCAGGGCCGCCGTCCTTGCGGCGCGCCGCGGCCAGCGCGGGGCCGGGCCCGCCCGCCGGGGCCGCCGCGGGGCCGCTCCCGGGGCCTCCGCCCGCCGCCAGCGCCGCCGCCGCCATTGTCCCCGCGCGCCCCGCGCCGCGCATGCGCCGCGCCCGCGCCCCGCCCACCGCGGGAGCGCGCCCGCCGCCGGAGCGGGAGCGCGCTCGGGGACGCGCTCGGGGGGTCGGAACGGGAGCGCGCCCTCGGCACCGGCAAGGGGGTGCTCCGGGCCCTCGGCACCGCTCTGGTCTGCTCCGGGCCCTCGGCACCGCTCTGGTCTGCTCCGGGCCCCGAACTCCCCGTCCGTGCCCTCGGCACCGCTCTGGTCTGCTCAGGCCCCGCCTGGAGACCCCGAGCCCCAATTAAGGAGTAAATTGGGTGCTGACATAATTACCTGCAGGTGTCTGCACCAAGTCTTCACTGTTTGGGTGCCTTTATCTTTCCACAACCAGAGCCCTGGAACGGGTCATTATGAAGCAATTCCCCCCAATTTTCCTTTATAGAAACCACTTAGTTTTGAGTGTCTAGTAATGTTTTATTTGTGAATTGAACATAACAGAGAAAAAATTTAACAAACCAAAACCATGATAAACCATTTAAAAATACATATTTTAGTTCCAACATTATTAAATAGAGCACCAAGAGGTCCTTCATTAAAATCACAATCCCCAGTATAAAACTGTCCCTTGCATTTACAGTAGTTTGTAAATGTTCCTCGTCCCTGAACACTCCAAAGCAGAAATAAACACCTGCAGGAAAGGAAACCTCTGGAGATACAGGGAACAATAAACCCAGCAAACATCCTGCAATCTGAACTTCACCATTTCAGAACTGCCATTCTCAAAAGGCAGCACAATGAGCCCAGCCAACAATTCCAGAGGGTCTGTCTTGGGAGAGCCATAAAATCTCATCCCATCGCATCCCTGATTCCAGAGGGTCTGGCTTGGGAGAGCCATAAAATTTCATCCCATCGCAGCCCTGCCGTGGCGGGGACACGGAGCACTCGCTCCCTTCCCCTGTCCCGGCTGCTCCAGCCCCAATGGGACACTGGCCTGGGACACTGCCGGGGATCCAGGGGCAGCCACGGGTGCTCTGAGCAGCTCCCCGGTTGGGATCGGGATCGGGGCTGGTCCTTCCCCAGGATCGGGATCGGGGCCGGGATCAGGACTGGGGCCAGGGCCGGGATCGGGGCTGGGATCGGGATTGGGGCCGGGATCGGGATCGGGATCAGGATCAGGGCTGGGATCGGGGCTAGGATCGGGGCTGGAATCAGGATCGGGGCCGGGATCAGGACTGGGACCGGGGCTGGGATTGGGATCGGGGCCAGGATCGGGACCGGGATTGGGATCGGGGCTAGGATTAGGATTGGGGCTGGGATCAGGGCTGGCCAGATCCATCCCCGGGATCGGAATCGGGGCCGGGGCCGGGATTGGAGCTGGGATCGGGATTGGGGCCAGGATCGGGGCTGGCACGGTCCATCCCCGGGATTGGGATCAGGGCCGGAATCGGGATCGGGATTGGGGCCGGGATCGGGGCTGGGATCGGGATCAGGGCCGGGGCCGGCCGGGTCCATCACCAGGATTGGGATCAGGGCCGGGATCGGGATTGGGGCCGGGATCGTGACCGGTGCCGGGATCGGGGCTGGCCGGGTCCATCCCCGGGATCAGGTTCGGAATCGGGATCGGGGCCGGGATCGGGACCGGGATCGGGATCGGGCCTCAGACCGGGATCGGGACCAGGACCGGGATCGGGACCGGGATCGGGATCGGGCCTCAGACCGGGATCGGGACCAGGACCGGGATCGGGATCGGGATCGGGATCGGGATCGGGATCGGGATCGGGCCTCAGACCGAACGGGTCCCACGGCGGAGCCGAGGCTACAGCGCCCCCAGAGGCCGCGCCGCCCATTGGCTCTGCCGTTGCCATGGGAACAACCCTCGCCGTCCATTGGCTCTGCCGTTGCCATGGGGACATCCCTCACCGCCCATTGGCCGTGCCGTTGCCATGGGGACAGACCCCGCCCCGCGCCCACGAGGGGCATCGCGCCGCGGCGCCGCCGGCCGCGGGGAACGCGCGGGCCGCCTCAGTTCCGGGGAGAGCGGAAGTGAAGTGCGCCGCGCCGGAAGCGCGCGCGGGTGCTGCCGGGAGCTGTAGTCCCGAGGGGCGGCCCGGCGGCGGCAGTCGCGGTGCGGAGGTCGGTGCTGGGCGGGCGGGGGTCGGACCGCGACCCCTGCGGAGAACCGGGGGGGCCGCGGGGGCGGCACGGCGGCGGGAGGCGGGGGACGAGCGGGGGATGGCGCCGAGCAGCGCGGGCTGAGGCGGGGAGGGCCGTGCGGGGCCGCGGCCTGTGCGGGCGGGGCGGCGCGGGCGGGGATGCTCGGCGGCACCGGGGATGCTCGGCGGCCCCGGGGATGCTCGGGAGGCCTCGGGGATGCTCGGGGAGGCTCCGGGGCACCGCTCCCCGCGGGCCCTGGGCGAGGGGCGGCGGGGGGAGCCCCGGGAAGCGGCCGCGGAGCGCGGCTGTGCCCGGAGCTCCGTCCCTGCCCGGGGCAGGCTCCGCTCCGCTCCGCTCGGAGCTGCTCTGCCGCTGCCCTTCCCGCTCCCGCCTCTCCGCGCCCGCCTGCGGCTCGTCCCCGCCGGCCCCGTGGAGCCCCGGGGCCGCGGGAAGGGTCGCTCCGGGTCAGCGGTTTGGCCCCGGCGCCCGGGGCCGCTCGGAGCCCGGTGCCACCGGCAGCGCGTCCTTGCCGCCGCTCAGCAGCGAGGGTCCTGCGGGGCTGGCCGGGAGGAAAGGATTCCTGTAGGGAAAGGTTTCCTGCAGCCCTCCGCCGCTCCTTCGGCCCAAAGCACGGAAAGTACAGGATAAATCACGGCTGCGAGCGGCGGGCTGGCGCTGCCCGGAGCCCGGGCAGGCAATCCTTGGGCTGGATGTGCCGACAGCAGGATTTCTCCTTTGTTCTCCTCACAAAGCACTCGGGGCTCTGCCCCTTCCAACACCGCTGGACTATCCCAGCAGCCAATAATCGGAATTGCTGTGATTTTCCCTGCGTCTCTCTCGGCGATGTGGTTTTTCCTCATGTAGTTGTTTTCCAGTGGATCAAGGGACCCCAGCAATTCCTTCCCATCCTTTGGGATTTTATCTGACAATGTTCCGTGCCGCTTTGCCTGGTTTCACTCTTTGCCTTCGCAGCAGGAGCACTGAGTCTGTTCCTAACAAACTTTTAGTGTTTCTTGTGCCACTCGGGGCTCTGGAGTTTGCTGGGTGTGAGGCACAGGGCTCCACACTCCTGTGGATTCTCATTCCAGCTGTGCCATTGCCTGTCCTGGCCATTTCTTCCCAAATCCAGTGTCCTCGGAGCTCCCACATCTCTCCTGTCATCAGACAAAATCCATTTTGAGTCTTGCAGTATCCCTTTCCATCTCTGTGTTTCCCTGCGGGCTGGAGCAGCTGCCACAGTTGGACACTTATTATTTGGGATTAGGATCTGCAGGAGCAAACCCTGGGATTTCCCCCAGGCTGCTGGATGTGCTAAAAGTGATTCCCAGGTTGGGCTCCTGCTGTCCAGATTCAGCAGATCCTTTATTCTCCTCCCTGTCCTGCCCCACTCCCACCCAGTCTGATTCTTACTGGTTCCCAGTAAGGCTCCCAGCCCAGCTGGGATCTGCAGCCAGGATCCTACCAACAGCTGGGTTGGAATCTTGCTTATCCAAGGGGATCTCAGTTGTTCACCTTGGAGCCTCATCCCCGGAGGGTTCTCCATTTTTTATTTCTTTGTTCTTGAGCAGAAAAGACCACTCTCATCAACTTTGTATTGCATTTACCCTTTTGGGTTGGAAGAGAGTGTAAGGATCATCCAGCAAGGCCGTGGTCAGGCTGTTCCCAATGTCCAGCTTGGTCTTGGACACTTCAGGGATGCAGGGAACACCCACAGCTTCTCTGGGAATTACATCCCAGCCCCTCCCCACCCTCCCAGCCAGCAATTGCTTCCCAATCTCCCATCCATCCCTGCCCTCTCTCAGCTCAAAGGCATTTTTGGAAGAACCCTTTTCCCCACCCCTGCATGGCTGGGGCATTCCTTGTTCCTGCTCCCTGAATTCCCACTAGGGAACGCTGCAGTTTACCTGCCCATCCTGTCCCAGGAGCTGAGGGAGGGATTCCCTGGATGATTCCCTGGGGTACCCCCAAAAACAGCTGCCCCTCTTTGGTCAGAATGTGGAGGGGGATGTGGCCAGTGCCCTGGGAGTTGGATTCCCTGCAGCATTCCCTGTCCCACTCCTGGTTTCCTCTCTGCAGCACTTCTGGAGCATTCAGGGATTGGCTCCTTTCTGTCAGAGCAATACTGGACTCACCCAACTCATCAAAATCCCCTTGGCTTTAGGGCAGTTTAAGCCAGGCTGGGGTGATCCCCATGGAAGGGGACACAGGCTCCAGCCTTGGCAATCTGGCTCCAGAACCACAAAAAACCTCCCTGACTTTGTTCCCTGCAGTGATTTATCACACCAGGGACATTCCCCTCTGAGAATCACCACAGCACACGTGGGGTTGAATTCTTGCCAAGTCAATTAATCTGGTTTTATTGATTTCATCCTTGGAAAAGGCCAGGTGTGGCCCTGGCAGCCAGGGCAGGTTGGTATCCGTGTGTCCGTGGGGAGGAACCCATGGACCATGGACAAGGTGTCACATCCAGAGATGTGGCCAGAAAATGGGCTGGGTTTATTTGAAGCCTTTTTTTTTTTGCTACTGAAGTAATTTTGTCTTACTGAAAGCAGAAGTGAATAATTGGAATGATAATTGCAGGCTATTAATTGCATGCTCAGGAAGTCATTGATGGGGACAGTCAATGTCCATAGAATCCCAGAATATCCTGCCTTGGAAGGGATCCACCAGGATCATGCAAGTTCAGCTCCAAACTAACTTTGTGTGTAAATAATGACCTTCACTCCTCACCCATCTGACCTGAGTTTATAGAAAAGCCTTGTTACTGTTTCCAAGAATCCCTACAGTGTATTTAACACTTGGC